TGATATTTATGTGTCAAATAAGGAACTGTGGTATATAATACAAAGGTCCACTGGACCGAACTAGTCTCAAGATCTATTCCTGCCATAATCAAGTTGCCCTAGACACCACAGTTCTTTAGTTTTGTTCTCCATATAGAAAACAGAAGTCGTACACAAAATAAGACTAGAGATATGAAGGACTGAGCAAAAATTGCGGAAAACTCAAAAAGTTTTAGCTAAACCCAAATATTCCGGACATTTTGGGGAAAAAATCCTTCCCCCGTGGTTTTTTTTCCTCTTAGGTTTTCCATTCAAGTTTTTATATTGCTAACGAAGACTGGAATGTATCTAATATCTATCAAAATTCATGCACAATTCCTCCATCCAAAAAGGGAAAAAAGATATTCAAGTTTTTATTAAAATAGTCAAGAACATACTCAAGGTTCCATTAAGCACATCAATAAAGTTCTAGTTATGAATAGTTTCCCAGAAAGTTTTAAATTAAGAGCTGTGGACTACCATTCAAAATCCAAACCACCATTCTTTAGCACGATCCTAATGTACACAACAGAGACCAATCATGTTACTCTAATTTTCAACTGAGTGATACTTAAGTCTAGAATAAAAGATTATTCTAATTGGACACTGAGAAAGAGGCATGCTACAGAAAATGGATTCAGTTGCATTTTTAAAAAATCATTACTATTTTAGCCTCATTTAGCTTGATCAGTTAAGAAGAATGTTTTTGGGGAGAGAAACTGGCAAAATTCTGTGTTTACTGCTTCCCATTTCCAAACTATTTTTTTCTCCTGGGAAACTGCCAGTTCTGGAACAAGAGCTCCTCACAACTTTTAAGTGTTCCATTTTCTAGTTCTGCAAGTTCAGAAAGTTATTCGCATCTCACATTTCTTCCCCTGTCTACACAAAACCATGGTGCTAGATGTGGACAAGAAATGTATTTACACTCAGTAAGTCAACACAAACCTGCCATGTAACCAATTAACCTTGAAAACTCGCTATTTCATTCATATGGAAATGTATAATCTACTCTCTTGTGTAAACAGTTGCAAAGTGAAGGGAATAAATACATAATTTAAAAATCCTGATAGTATAGTACAAATAATGCCACTAATGTGATTTAACATTAAAGAAGTTAAAGGAAAGACCACAGATAATCTAGTATGCTTAATAAACAAACAAACAAACCCCCCCCCCCCTGAACTGTAGACTAGGAAGGGACAAACTATCAGATCTGCAGATGTTAAGGGATGCTACTGAGTGACAGACAAACCTTTCATCTCATCAAAGTGAAACCAGCAACAAAAGCCTTTTCACTAGATTTCGGTAGCCCCTCAAGAAAGCTCTCACTCATGTGGAAAGACATTCTGGGCTACATATAGACAAGCATACAGAGTGTTCTAATGTATGCATTATTTACACCAGAGCTATTTAGGTGGCAGGGTCCCAGTTTTCTGCAGATAACATTCCAGGCATTGTTCATTTCACCAGTTAGTTCTCTTACATCAGAGATCATGATACAGCATAAATAATCTTTAAAGTGTTCAAAGTTATGAGAGTTCTATCACTGATATTTGCACAGGTATGCTAATCTATTGTGCTAATATAGCACCCAAATGATGCTGCATAGTTGAAAGAGAAAAATGGATGAGCAGATTGGTCTTTATCAGTTTCACATGTGTGCATTCATAAGTTTGTTTTGTTTCTACATCAATCTGTTCTGAAAATGCGAACTGGACAAAAATAGATATTTCAGAATGTTAGGTAGGAGTTTGGGACAGATGTCTGGGGTTCAACTACGTAGAATGAGCAGAAGGGACCCCAAATAGTATAGTGACTTAACACATTTTGTCCAAAGTCTCAGATTACCTATCTATACCCACTGCATACATGGCCACCAAAATTGATGGGATACTCTATTCAACTGTAGTACATTTTTTTCATCTTTATACAAGGTTATCCTTAAAAATATCCCTTCCTAATGTAGATCTTCCAAAGCAATTTAAGTTATCAAGAATACATGGAAGGCCCAGAAGCTTTGTTTCTCAAAGCAAATGTTAAAGGACAGAATAAGACAGCACACTATTTCTGCATGGGTGATTTGGTCCTCATTTGAAGCAGCATAGAACCTGTTTAATTCTGTGTCAGTGCAGCTTTGAACACAGGCTGCTATTTTATTGACATGCTATTATGCTTCCTTCATTCCAATCTTGAGTGCCTTTGTTTCATCGGAGCAATTCTAGCAACTCGGCCCTTTAGTTCAAATGCTCACAAGAGTAGTTTCTACTTCATTAGGAAACAAGATTGGTAGCAGCTTCAAGGCTGGCATCTCATTCTGAAACTTAGCACTTTTGGAAAGCTTCAGCAAAATTTAAGAAGCACAGGAAAAAATCCTTCCCCTCATCTCTTGAATCACTATGACACACTGGTCTTTTAGAACTGTGAAAATAACATCCCTTCTGATGTACCTCCCAATTAAATGTACTATTACTGCTACATATATGCATGCATACATACGTAAAAAACAAAGAAATTATGTAAGGTAGAGTTACCCCAACCCTACATCTTTGAATCATCATGACCCTCAACAAGGCATCTTCTATCAGCTTAATAAAGTCATGCCTGTTTAGGCCCATCAAAGACTCACAACTCAGGGTGTAATCCTATCGTGATGATCATAAGTCCCTGAACTCAGAGGCTTGCACTTATCCTATACAGGTGAGAGGAGAAGTGGAAGCATTCTTCACTTCCTCATCCTTGTGCCATTCTCACTAAATGGAATCCTTACCTATCTAAAAAAATGAATTTTAGAGGAGGGAAGGCTGGATGTCAGGATCTGCAGCTCCCATTGGTGGCTTGATAGAAAAGGCAGCCCCTTACAAATATTCACAAGATTAGCATTAGACCTGAAGGTGCTTGTCGGATTAGGACCAGTGCAATCAAGCTGACCTGCCTGGAGCCACAGAAGACACAAATCTTTATGATTTGTGTTTCTGATTTGGCTTCTGCCTTCAGCGCTGCAATGTCTTAACTCACCACTGAGGTTGGAACGCTGTCTCTAACTATGGGTGACCCTTCAGATGTTGTCTAGATGGCATAGGATTGATCCCTCCAGGATTAAAAACAGGCAATTCTTAGACTATGCTATCTACTGAACTAAATGGAAAAACAGATCAACAGGGCTAAACAGTCCCAGAAAAGAAAACAATTGTCACCTGCAATTCCAAGCTAAAACTAGTGTATCAGTCCATCTGGGCAATCAGAATTCCCTCTCATTTATTTGCTTACAGGGAGCTCTCCAAGCAAAAAAGTTTATTCACTGGCAATAACAAATATTATAACAGAGAGACAGACACAGATTCTGTGGCAGATGCCCAGTCTGTCTCCATATCTACTTTGGCAATAATATTATAGGTCCTGCAATGTCAACTGTAGCATCAGGGGCTTCATACACTTGCTTACTTTCCAATGTGATAGATGTCATGTTGCTAGCAAGGCCTAACTGCTTTCTACATAGCACAAAGAGATCAGTTTTTATACAAATTTGATATCAGAAATAGCATTATTATATAAAGCAGTGGGAAACAGACTTTGACTTCCCAGGATACCATCAATGACTTTAAGGAGCTTATTCTTGCACAAAAGAACTTCAAAGAAATTGTAACATGGAATTTCTGAACAACAACAATTATTATTTCTATACTGTCCATAGCCAAAGTTCTCTGGGCAGTTCACAATATTAAGTCACCCATCCAGACTTCATCCAGGCCCGACCCTGCTTAGCTGCCAAGATTAGGTGGAATCAGGCACTTCAGGCTACACAGAAGCTACTAAATCAAGATATTTGACTCTATTTCCTGTGATGTGAGCTTAAACAAAAGGTCTTTTTCAAAAATCAAACTACATGAATTAATCAGTGTACCAAGACAATGATGTCTGTATTCTCACTCAACACTTTGTGACAATCTCACTCCACCATGACCTGCACAACTATATGTGTATAAATGCCCAACCTAAGGTGAACACTGTTACGTATCTGAAGTGGACAGTGTAAAAAAAGGTCATGCAATGATAAATTTGTTTGTCTTGAAGATGCTACAAAATAATTATAGCAAGATTTTATTGTTGCAAGGATATTAAGGCTACAATCCTATGGATTTAATTGAGAATAAGCCTCAATGAATTGAACAGTGACTTGACTTGTTTCTAAGTGAGCATGCTAAATTTTGTGCTTTTTGAACCCAAGGATACAACAAATGTTAACAGCTTGTCAAGTATTTATCTACGAAATGGACCAATGGGCTTTCTTGGGGATATCATTCCAGGAACCATCAGGGTGACTCTAATTCAGGCATCACAGAAAATGATTTGTCAAAAGGAAAAGCTTAGCCTTGATTCACATGTAATGACACCTATGAGTAAAAAAATGGCTTGTTGTGCATGAATGGGCATGCTGCCTGCTACACACCTGCCTCTTCTGCTTTTACTCAGTAAAGCATGGTTGGCTCACTAACTTTGTCAGATGCTGCTGAGTCTGACATCCAAAACTGGAACACTGGGTTGGTAGGTTTGTTGGGTTAACTGCTAGGCTGTTAAACTCCTAAAACTCCCATAGTATTTAAGCTCACAGTGTAATTCTGTGAGAACATTAATTACCACCAGTTCTAACTACCATGGCCAATGAAACACTGGGAGGTACAGTCCACAACATCTACCCAGACTGGGAAAGTCTGGGCAATTGTACTGCATTGGTTTTTATATCCCACCCTTTTTCCCCTTGCAAGAGACCAAGATCCTCTTCAACTCTATTTTATCCTCACAACTACTAACTTGAGAGGCAGGTTGGGCAGAGAGTGAGTGACCAACCTAAAGGCACTCAGTGGGCTCCCTGTCCAAGTGAGGACTAGAACCAAGACCTTCAGGGTCCCCATTCCAACCCTCTAACCACCACATCACACTGGTATGAAATGGTATGGGGTGGAGGTGAGCATGAGACACATTACCTTCTGCAGACAGTCCTTTCATTATGAAGGTCATTGTGCAAGGAACTGTGGCTCTTGATGTTGCGTGGCATATACATGTACATGCCACTCATAACCAGGCTGGAACAAAGGCAGTATTCTAGCACTGACAGCTGTTTGTTAATTCTTCTAGTGCATTGCTAGAAAAAAATAGTGAAGGATAAATAATGCCAGCCAATGCACGATATCGTCTTATGGATCAGGGATAATAGATATGGAACCAAAGTAGCACCTGCTGCAACATATGCTTCAAATTTATAGTAAAGGATGGCATATCAAAAATGGATATTCCTCCAAGCCATTTTGGTGGATACTAGATGCACCAGCTTTCAGAGATCTACCATACCTAGCACTGTTACCAGACAATATGTTTAAAAGGTTTTACTTAGATTGATTTGTATAATTTTAATTTAGTAAAATTAACATCTACTATTTTAAGAAGCTTGGTTTTGATATAGTGATAATAACTGGAGCAAAGAGCTTAATTAGTAAAGCTATTTCAGACATAATCACTTCTGCTTGTCATCATTACCCCTCTAACAGAACTGCACTAAAAGAATGTTTCTAAAATACTGGATAAGGTTTTTTTTTGTAGAAAAGCTGTAGTTTTTGAAAACTGGCTGAAATGGCAAATATGGAAAGAACCCAGTAGATTTTAATTTTAGGCCAGTGGCAGAAGTTCTTTTGCTGGGAAAGGTTATTGACCAGCTGTCCCAATACAAAATTTTGCAGCAAACTCATATCTCTGCACAGTGCAATTATGTATCACTAATATGTATATATATTAAAGCATTTGTCTCCCTGTTTATTATCATTTTCAAACAATTAAAAAACTGATATAGATGAAAGTTTCAGGGAAGTCTTTGAAAGCATAATAAAAAGATTCCAAGATTGTGGTTAGTGCCTTGGGCTGGGATTCAGGAGTTTTTGGTTCATCCAAGAAACTCACTGGATTACCTTGGGCCAGTCACCAACATCCAGTTTATCCTCACAGCAAATCTGTGAGCATGTTAAAATGGAGGGAAGGTGACTCCTTTTAAGGAGAAAAAAAGGCAGATTATAAATGCAATACAGAAGACACTGGCATCTTGGAAGCAATATCTGGGGGAAAATGGTGCATACAAAGATACCTTGATGATAAAGTTCACCAAATAAGGGTCTACTATGAAAAAGACCAATTCTACATGAAGTATAATTAGAAAAAAATTTAAAAACTCTATCAAGATATACTGACTTTATATAAATATAAGGTGTACCACACTTAAAATACATAAGGTTTTTATCTTTTTCTCTCAAAAGGGGTATTATAGAACTGGAAAGGTGAAGGAAAAGCTTACTAAACAATCAAGAGGCCAAGTGCTGGGAGATTCAGGACAGGCAGAAGAAAGTACTTCACATAGCACAAACTGTGAGATTTGCTTTCACAAGATGGAGTGGCGGCCACCAACACAGTCAGCTTTAAAAGGAGATTAAAGATAATTTATAAAGGACAAGGCTAGCAACACCTACTAGTTCTGAGGGTTCTATATTCTAGTATTGGAGGCAGTATGGTTTTTGTATACAAGTTGCTGGAGCACATAAGCAGGAGCATAGCATTGCACTCATGTCCTGCTTCTGGGAAGTTTCCCTAGTGCAGCTGGTTGTACAAACAGAACGCAGAGCTAATTGCCCTTTCATCTGATCCAGCACTGTGATTCTTATGTTCTTAACAGGAAGACAGAGGTAGAACACTAAGGGTAAAGACCTGTTCAACATCAACAGGTGTCAGTCTGGTAACATGGATCATTTTAGTGTAATGGGTGGCCCTGACAGCATAATATCAATGGGTGGCTTTTATACAAATTTAATAAATAAAATAAATTACTGAACATATTTGCTCCCTCTGCCATTCTGAATGTGAATTCTAATTTTAATTATCTTAAACTCATCAGGAGATGAAGACAGATTTTTTTTTTCTTTTTTCAGGTACTCTAAAGACCCTGTTTGCTAAGGGAGGATTTGTATTGGAACTACTGCACAGCTTTAAGTGTTCTTTGCAGGTTTTTTTTCAATGACATGAGTTCACTGCAAATGCACCAGTGTCAGATCAAAGTAATGACACTTGTAAGCAGACCAGCATCTGGCTTATTAGGAACTTGTGCAAAGAGAACATTCAGCATTAATACCAAGTTTATTATCTGAGACACTTTACACTCACAAAGTAACTTGAAAGACACATATGCATATGTAAGATATGCTAGTATATAAAAACTCCCAAAGCAAACAAAAGCATCCCATTTTAGGTTAAACAACTTATGTCAGTGTTAAGGAAAACACTTGCTACTTCTAGAGCCAGAATTTTCTTTTCCAAGGATCAATTTTCATGAAATAATTGTACAGTTCACAATTCCATATTACATATTCATGAAAATTTAGAAGGAAATTTTCAAGATTGTAATGGAGTCTTCCAAAGTTCCTTTTTATGTGTTGCTGTTTTATTGTATGTATTTTACATTATATTAATGAGTTGTCTTTGGGCCTGGAAAAGCACCCAAGGGAACTTTTTATTTTCATGAAAACACACAAATATTGCAAACAGTATAATCAAGAGTATGAGGGAAAGTGTAAAACCTGTGTGTAGAGCCAGTATGTTTAAGCTACAATTTTACTTACGCTTACTTGTAATCAAGTCTCAACAGCACTTACTTCTGAACAGATATGTATTGGATTGAGATGTATTAAAATGCAATGCAAAGCAAAATGTTATAGCTAGTTTTAAAAGTAGACAAAGAAAGGTCCAGTGCACACTTTTGGGGGGATACAGTTCCATCAGCAGAGTGCAGTCACAGAAAAGGTTCATGTTTCCCCAGTCCAACCACTGCAAGTACTGGGACATACAGAACGGCCTCCAAATATCTCAAACAATGGGTGGATGGGGCAGTGGTCACCTAAATGGCATTCATACATCTGTGAACATTTTATTAGACTTAAGGGTTGACTAAACAAATCCCTCTACACTAAAACTCTTGCTTTATAAGAACAACATTATTTTCCTCTGTAGATGTTCTTTCACAGTTTTTTTCCACCCAAGGCAAGGAATCTATATGCACTGGTATACTGACACTGCCAAACATCATTACTATGTGTTGGAATACATTTCCCGTCAGTACGGCCACTATGTGCGGGGATAATGGGGATTGTTATTCCAAGACACCCAGACAGCCAACAGCTTGGAAAAGTTTCTTGTAGAAACAGCGACAACACGCAACAGTGGAAAAATAAACGGGGTACAATTTCTCTTCCCCAGCCCTTAGCCTCGAATGGCCTGTCAACTTTGCCGTGCGTTTGGCTATTACGCTTTCGGGAAACACACACGGGCTAATGAAAATCAAAGCACGCAAAACGCTCGGCACACAAAACGAGCTTGAAAACTCACAGGCATCAGCCAGCCCCATTGCCAAGGAAAAAAATCGCTGAGGGAAAGGAGACTAGACTCACCGTTCCTCCACGCTTCCTCCAACCCTTGAGAAGTCGCCATCCCACCGGTATGTAGCCATTACCATGAATACTTTCAGGCAAGACTTGGAACGCGTCCCAACCAATGGGAGAGAACCAGACACCTCCCCCACCGCATAGGTCACTCCGCAAAGCACATCGGGAGTGGAGGCGAGGCGTCTTTGTTTTACAGCGGGCTTTGCAAAGAAGAACGGCACGGAAGGTAGGCGTGGTCTTGAAGGCGGCTTGTCGGAAGAAAACTACAGTTCCCATCATGCACTGGGATTCCAAAGGGGCGGGGCAGCGAAGGGAAGGCGGAGAAGGAGGCGGCGCTATCGTTGAGTGTCCCAGAGCGCGAGCTCGGTTGAGCAATCAGAACAATGACTTCTCCGCTGGCGCCTGAGGAGCAGCGGCTCTAACGCTAGTCCAGGGAGATTTGCTGGCAGCCGCCGCCGCCGCCTGCTGCTGCCGCGGCCGCTCTGAGCCGGAGGGAAGGCGCAGCTACTACCGTCGTTGTTTGGAAAAGCGGGACCAAGAACCGCGCACTCTTTAGCATGTGGATTCCTACGGAGCACGAGAAATACGGAGTGGGTGAGTGAGGTCTCCCTGTTGGCTTCCCTTGGTGTCTGGGGCGCCCCTCTTGCCTTCCCGGAGTAATTCTGGGTGGTCGTAGTTCCAGAGGAGAAGGCACGGGTGAGGGGAACCCGGGGAGCCGATCGCCCACACACCCCTTTCCCCTTTGCACGGCAAACTCGCCCCTAGCGTTGCTCTTGGCAGTTCTGCATTTGTGTGATTACTCTCTGAGTGGATGCTAGCTTAGGTTTCGAGAGAAAGAAATGACATTGGTTCCATCGGCACTCTTTTTCTCCTCTCCTGCATGCCTCATTACTAAAGTGTCATTTGGACAGTATGTGGGTTTTAAAATGTGGAATAAAAAATCGGGGCGAGAGATGTTTAGTTTGGGTCTGTGTATTTATGTTATGGTTAACATTCATTGTTCAAAGAACTACTGGTTTCTCTGAATAGCGGGTTGCAGACTGTTTAAACAATGTCTTTCCTATTAAACAGCATATTTGAAAAGCTTCCCTGTCCACTCATTCCGCGTCCTAAAAAGAAACAGCAGATTAAGCAGTCTCATGGCTATTTAAAAATACATATTTTGGGAAAGGGATTCAGGAGAGGCTAACCTGTGCCATCTTCGTGTAAATTGTGAGAGGCACCAGCGTGCTGTTGGATGTGGTCTCTGTGTAGTGTTTTTGTTTTAATCTGGATAGTAACCTACTTCGAGTAGTGATGTTTTTGTTCTCGGGTTTAATTGAGTACAAAAGTGTATAGATTGCACAGGGAAACAGCGATGTATGATCAGTTAGGGAATTTACGATCCTGTTTCGGGAGGAAGAAAATCTGCTTCCATCCTTTCTACAAAAGGTGAACAACAAAGGACATTAGGTGTTGAGTAATGAATGTGGAATTTCTCATTCAATATGCCTCTCAAAAGCAGAATGTAGTTTCTTCTGATTTCTCTTCCTCTCCTTTCCTTCCATGAATATTTTAAAATCCCTATTTGATTTCTTTTTCCAGCCAGCTCCTTTTGGTACTATTTGGGTCTATTAATTTCAGTCAGTCACCTAACTGCTCTTTCTTTATAAAATGGGTTTTAAGCCTGTGAAATGAGTATTTCCATGATGTAGTCTCTTTTAATTTATTTTTAAGTAGCATGAATATGATAAAGAATGCATGCCTTTTTTTCCTCCATGTGTTATAGCACTTGTCACTGGGTTTCTCCCACCCCTGTCACCTCTGCTTTAGCAGTGTGTACAGGGATGGTTCAGGTGTCAGACCTAATGATGAAAGCTGCAATCCTAAACCCACTCACTTAGGAGTAAGACCTATTGAACTCTATAGGATAGAATTCAGAATAGGTAATGATCACAATGAAAGAGGACTTGTTTTGAACTCCATCTAATGCCCCAGCATTAATACTTGCTGACTAGTTCCACACAATAGCAGCTGTTGTGACTGACTTCACAGGTGAAGGGTATGGCAAAAATGTTGTTTGTTCTGTATCTGAGGTATGCGTAAACTGCAGAATTGTGAATGTAACTGAGAATCCCAGTGAAATGCAAAGACTTAAGTGTGTTTAACCAATAGCATGAAAGACAAAACCCAATGCACACAACTACACCATTTGGAACTGATCCCAGCTGCTGCTCTCTGACCTAAATGTTAAATTATAGAGATCATTGATGGAATTTATTTTCTTGACTTCTCTTTATGTGTCCAGTCACAGCTGGGTAGCAAGGTATTGATTAGTCCTTCTGTTGGCCTTTGAGGGAAACAAACACGCGCTCATGCACGCGCGCGCGCACACACACACACACACACACACAGAGCTATGGCCATAGATTTGAAAGCCACTCTGGTATTTCCTGGAATGGTATGCAGGACATTAGTGGTCAAGTATTTCAGGCTATAACACTTGCTAACTTGAAAAAAATCTGGAAGGGAATACATTTCTCAACTGAAATATATTCCTTTACTAAACAAGGAACAGCAGATTGCACACTGTGTTAATTTAAAGCTGAGGCAAAAAATCTACGTCCAGTTTTGAGCTGCTGAACCCAAACCTTTCACTTAAAAGATATGTCATTCTAATTAACTTTGTACTGATCTCAGTTGTTGTTCCTTCTCTAAACTCCTGTCCCTTCTGCAGAAGAGTAGTGACAGGATGGCTAAACTATTATTCTTGTAAGCTCAGTGAGTTTGGTGGGTAGGGGAAGAGGATGTAATTTGCTATTCCCAGAAAGAGCAAAGAGAAATTTTTGAACATCCCTTTTGCTGATCTAAGTGTTGCTTCTTTTCTAAACATAAGCTTGTATGCTAGACTGTGGATGCCCAAACCTATTGTCACTGATTGAATGGGAACTCACAAGCACTGTCATATAAATGGATTTGATGTTGGGTTAGGTCTTCACTTTGGGTAATGCTGCTGCACTTGCCAGAAGAGCCCTTGGGAGCACCTTCAATCACCAGGCAGCTTTTCATCAATTTTTTTTTGTTGATTCAGCTCAGAATCCTGAGATACAGAGCAGGCAGTAAACAATAAAATGCATGTGAATGAAATTATTGTGCAGCCCTTTATCTCATGCAAATGCAAGATTGGTGGTCAAAGCTTCATTCTTTTTCATGTGATAGGTTGTTTGAAGATGCTTTTTAGTAGGTTTTTACCTGGGGCTTGGTGTACAGGCTGATTTTATGCATGTTTGGTCAGAATTAGTTCCCACTCCTAAGTTTGTATTAGACTGCACTTCTATGACACATTCTTAGGGATGTTTGCTCAAGTGTTCAAGGATGTGGATTTCTAAGAAGAGCTCACAGGATTGCAGCTTGCCAGTGTTACCCTATGCTACATGGGTTAGGCCAGTGTTTCTGTAACTGGTTTCTAACCCAGTTCTTGTTCTAACCCACTGGTGGGTCTTGAACAAATTTCAGGTAGGCCTCAGCATTGCAAACTGCTTGGTGCCTCTTTGCTTCAAATAATAAAAGGAAGATTAAATGCATATCAACAATTTCTAGCTGATTATGCCAGACTCTGCCTCTGTTTTCATTATTTTGTCACTCAAAGGACTCAGCCTTTTTTAGGTGTCTCAAGTGGGCCCTTGGGGTAGAAATTCTGAGAAGCTCTGAGCTATGCTGGATGGAAGCAGTGTTTAACTTCAACTAACTTTGCATGAGAATGAAACCTATCTTATCCTGATCCTAGCCCATGTCTATTTGGATGTGAATACTGGTATATTCAATTACACTCCTAGGCTGCAATCCAGTGTGGTGTAGTGGTAAGAGCACAGGACTGGGACTCCGGTGGTTTGGGTTCTAGTTCTCACTCAGCCATGGAACCAACTGGGTGATTAGGGGCCAGTTATAGACTCTCAGCCCAGTCTACCTCACAGGATTGTTGTTGTGAGGATAGGATTTAGAGGAGGAGGAGGAGGAGAATAATGTAAGCCACTTTGTGTTCTTTGTAAGACAAAGGTGGGATATAAATCTAATAGATAATGAACTTGAGAGTGAATCCCACTGAACACAATGGGATACCGTTCTGAATAAATACGGTTAAGATTACCCGCAATCCTATGCACATTTACTTGTTATTAAGGCCCATTGTGTTTAACCAGGCTGTTTTCCATGTCAATATGCAACATCTACAACCTAAGAGTGTGATTGTTGTACACTTATTCAGGAGTTAGTCCTCCTTGAACACTTTGGGGCTTATTTCTGAATTGCATTGGATCGGGCTACTAATCTGTGAACCTACCCATGCTAAAATGAGAGCATTAAAAAAATCTTCAGTTTGGCTAGAATGATGTATTGAAGCATGGTAAAATTTATGCCATGGTTTTAAGCCTTAAAGTACCTAAGTTTTGCATATCAAAATCAGTGAGCAATATAGTGCTATTGCATATTAAAGAGTTTATTGTGCTTTATTTCTTCATCCCTCATGATTGCATATATATCCCCAATCTGTGTAGTTTAACAATGAGGGGCAGGTAGAATGTAGATAT